TTTTTTTTTTTTTTTGTGGTTGGACTCGATGATCTCAGAGGTCCCTTCCAACCACTCAGATTCTGTGATTCTGTAACAATCAACTTCCTCATCCTATTATCTGGACCACTGCTAATCCCTAAAGTCTTGCACCCAAAGACAAATTTGGAATCCCCTTCTCAACCCAAGTGCTGTCTAGGAAAAAGCATTATTTAGTAGCAGGACAGAAACAGATCCTATGCCTTTTGTGTTCTTTTCTCCATTACAGAACCATTTGTTCTGGCTGCAGAACACAAGTCCTGCCTCTGCCAAAGTGAGTGCACTCATCTGGGAGGGGAATGACTGTAAGAAGGTGGACATGTCTGTGCTGGAGATCAGCGGGATTATCATGAGCAGGGTAAGGGGCTGTTGGGAGTTGCACCCTCTCTCCCCCACACTTTAAAAAGCAACCACCAAAAAACTTGAAAACAGCTGTCCATGCAAACAGGAGGTGTGGTGTAAAGCTGCAGCTGGAGGGCCTGTTGGAGACCAACGAACGCCAATTAGTATTGACTGATTGATGTTGGGTTTGGACTGAAATGGGTGGCGTTATTCTGGGCTGTGTCCCTTGAGGGGAAGGGGCTGCATGACTGAACTACACACAGCAGGCCTTCTCCTTGCTGCAAACCCCCAGTACCTGAAGGGAGCCTACAGGAAGGCTGGGGAGAGCCTGTTTAGAAAGGCCTGTAGTGACAGGACGAGGGGCAATGGCTTCAAGCTGGAGGGGAACAGATTTAGACTGGAGATTAGAAGGGGGTTCTTCACTGTGAGGGTGGTGGAGCACTGGAACAGGTTGCCCAGGGAGGTGGTTGAGGCCCCTTCCCTGGAGATATTCAAGGAGAGGCTCGACGAGGCCCTGGGCAACCTGGTCTAGTTGGGGGTGTCCCTGCTGACTGCGGGGGGGTCGGACTAGATGGCCTTTGGAGGTCCCTTCCGGCCTGGGCAATTCTATGATTCTATGATTCTATGATTCTATGATCATCCCCTTTTTGTTCCTGCCAGGTGAACGCGTACCAGCAAGGCGTGGGGTATCAGATGCTGGGGAACATCATCACCATCGGGCTGGCGTTCCTACCCTTCCTCTACAGGCTGTTCCGTGCAGACAACCTGGAGCAGCTCTGCTCTGTTTCTCTGATGGAGCTTCTGCACATCTTCTGTGGAGCACCTGCCAGTGCCCCCGTCCTCGTCTTGTCTGCCATCAACTTCCTTGAAAGACTCTGCCTGACCTGGATGTTCTTCTTCATGATGTGTGTGGCTGAGAGAACATACAAACAGGTGGGGTGAAGTGCAGGTTTCTTTCCTGAGCCCCCAGGCAGTTGTTCTGTCAAACCCCACTGCCTGTCGAAGGGGACTCTGGTCAGACCCCTGACCCCTCGACGAGGCCCTGGGCAACCTGGTCTAGTTGGGGGTGTCCCTGCTGACTGCGGGGGGGTCGGACTAGATGGCCTTTGGAGGTCCCTTCCGGCCTGGGCAATTCTATGATCCTATGAGTCTATGATTCATCAGTCACAAACTTAACCCTGTCGATGCCCTTCCTTAGCCCTGGGCCCTCTCATACCCTGCCCCCAAAGGAAAAAGGGCTGTTAACATCTGGCCATGGTGCCCTGCTGGGATGGGATAGCTTTGGGATTGAGCTGTTTGGGAAGCAGCCGCCGCTGGGTCTGAGATGGAGTGTTGGATGGTTTGCTGCCTGGTGTTCAGCTCGTGCTGGTGGGCAGGAGCTTTGCCCAAGTGGCTGTGAGTGTGTCGTGGTGGGGACAGGCTGGTGTTGTCACTGCTGTGGCTAGTGTTCTTGCTGCTGTGGCCAGTGTTCTTGTTGCTGTGGCCAGTGCTCTGGCTGGCTGCTCCCACAGCCACAGCAGCACCTCGGCACACGCAGGGGGACAACTGCCATCTACCCAAGAGGTCGTGCACCAAGGACCCCCCCTTGGGCTCCCCCAGCTCCCACAAGTTCACCTTTTCTGCCAGTCACCACCAAGCAATCCCAAACAAGCTTTTTTTTTTTTTCTGTTTTAGACTAATTGATGGGGGTCGGACTAGATGGCCTTTGGAGGTCCCTTCTGGCCTGGGCAATTCTATGATCCTATGAGTCTATGATTCATCAGTCACAAACTTAACCCTGTCGATGCCCTTCCTTAGCCCTGGGCCCTCTCATACCCTGCCCCCAAAGGAAAAAGGGCTGTTAACATCTGGCCATGGTGCCCTGCTGGGATGGGACAGCTTTGGGACCAAGCTGTTTGGGAAGCAGCTGCCGCCGGGTCGGAGGTGGAGCGGTGGATGGTTTGCTGCCTGGTGTTCAGCTCGTGCTGGTGGGCAGGAGCTTTGCCCAAGTGGCTGTGAGTGTGTTGTGGTGGGGACAGGCTGGTGTTGTCACTGCTGTGGCTAGTGTTCTTGCTGCTGTGGCCAGTGTTCTTGTTGCTGTGGCCAGTGCTCTGGCTGGCTGCTCCCACAGCCACAGCAGCACCTCGGCACACGCAGGGGGACAACTGCCATCTACCCAAGAGGTCGTGCACCAAGGACCCCCCCTTGGGCTCCCCCAGGTCCCCCAAGCTCACCTTTTCTGCCAGTCACCACCAAGCAATCCCAAACAAGCTTTTTTTTTTTTTCTGTTTTAGACTAATTGATGTTTGTGTATGGTGTTGTTTTCGATTTGCAGAGGTTTTTGTTTGCCAAGCTTTTTAGTCACATCACATCTGCTCGGAAAGCCAGGAAATACGAAATCCCTCACTTTAGGCTCAAGAAGGTAGAAAACATTAAGATCTGGTTATCCCTTCGCTCCTACCTGAAGGTGAGTGGTGCTGAGCCAGGGCTGGGTCATTGCAGGGGCTGTGACCGTGTCTCTGGTAAACGCTGTGACTTCCATCGCTGGGCAGCGCTGCCTGAACCCTCAAACAGCTCCAGCCCTTCCTGCTGAGCGTTGAGGTGACAGCCCTGTCCCCAGATCTCACACCCACCTCCCTCTCTGTTTGGCAGCGACGAGGCCCCCAGCGCTCCGTGGACGTCGTCGTATCCTCAGTCTTTTTGCTGGCTCTTTCCATTGCTTTTATATGCTGTGCCCAGGTGAGAGCTTAACTTTGTTTTTTGTTTTTTTTTTTTTTTAAGAAATAGGGGGAAACCACCAAACTACTGAAGGCTTTTCTTTTGCCAGCCTGTAAAATACTTGAACTGGAGCTGTTTGTCTCCAAATATGGAGCGTTTTGCATTTTTTTAAAAGCTTTGTAACATTTAGTTGGTAATAGCTGTTTGTTTGCTGGGTTTTTATAATTATTAGGAAGGTTTCAGGACACAAGCTTTTGTGCCCAAAGAGAAGGACTCTGCCCAAGCAGAGCAACCCAAAGTGCTCACAGGAGGTTTTATTTAAGAGGGCAAATTGCAGTGTCCTCTTTCCTGACTCCTGCTGGAAAGCGGGTCGGTACCTGGGAATGGTGGGATGAGGCTGGAGTGGGCCAAGCACATGTGGAAGAAGAGACATTTTATTGCCTTTAACTGGAAAGAGGGAGGAAAGAAAGAACAAGTGCCATTTGCTAAGCAGAAAAAAAAAAAATCCAAGCAAAAGCCAAGTTAGAGACAAGACCTTCACTTCACCCTCGTTTCACAGATGAGTTTCACGCCCAGGGAAAGGCTGCCAGGAGCTGCAGAGCAGGGACCTCTCTTCAGGAGAGGAGTGAGGGCAGCATTTTGCCCAAGAACAGGCAACTTGTTACTGACACTGCCTCCTCTTTCCCCTAAACAGGTTCTTAAGGGTCACAAAACTTTTCTGAACGCAGCTTACAACTGGGAGTTCCTAATCTGGGAGGCAGCTCTTCTTCTCTTTCTACTGCGTCTGGCATCTCTGGGCTCTGAAACCAACAAGAAATACAGTAATATTTCCATCTTGCTCACGGAGCAGGTATCTCCATTCAGCTTGTTCTCCCCTGGGCTTCAGGGCTTATTTAGAGATGATTATTGCGTTTCATACCAGCTTTAGGAATAAAATTTTAAAATTTAGATATCAGTGCATGTGCTGGACAGAAGGCAATGAAACCCTGTATGAGCTGTCAGCTACTTGGACAGACTCAAACTGTAAAAATTCTAGGTTATTTTTGTCTCTGGGTTAACAAGTTTTAGACATGTCTGTCGGAAAAAGAATGCTGCTAAATTCCTGTCTGTGGCTGCACCACGTCCGTCGGAAAAAGAATGATACTCTTGCTGCTAAATTCCTGTCTGTGGCTGCACCACTTCTTTAGGTGTGACAGACTGCAAAAAACTGTGCTAATTTCCTGTAGACAGAAGTTAGTTTTGGGGACAAGTGCTGGAGTATTTACATCTGGTCTGTAATGTGTCACAGATCAACTTGTACCTGAAGATGGAGAAGAAGCCAAACAAGAAGGAACAGTTGTCTCTCGTGAACAATGTTTTGAAACTCTCTACAAAGCTGCTGAAGGTAAAGCCACGCTCTCGAAAAACATACAATTGCTACATTTTATGGAAGCACTGACTAATGCCAGTGAGAGTGTGTTTGCTCCTCACACTCCTGTGTCTCCAGGATGTACCTTAGTTCTCACTGTGGGAGTGTTTCTGTGCTATCGCCGTGGCATGAGATCAGGCAGTATGAGATGGGTGTGGTTAATTAGTGCTGCAAACACTTGATTAGCAGCAGCTTCTTGGGATAAGAGAGGAGTGGGTGGTACAGACACAGCCCTTCTCCTGCTGCTCGAGTTGCGTTTTCCTTGGGCGGCAGCGCTGCTGGAGCGGGTTGAGAGCAGCAGAGCAGGTATTTGGAACAAAAGCACAGTCTGAGAGGCACAGAGGGTCCAGAGGAGGGCCACGAGGATGATCAGGGGGATGGAGCCCCTCTGCTCCGAGGACAGGCTGAGGGAGCTGGGGTTGTTCAGCCTGGAGAAGAGGAGGCTCCGGGGAGACCTAATAGCAGCCTTCCAGTACCTGAAGGGGCCTACAGGAAGGCTGGGGAGAACCTGTTTAGAAAGGGCTGCAGTGACAGGACGAGGGGCAATGGCTTCAAGCTGGAGGGGAACAGATTTAGACTGGAGATGAGGAGAGGGTTCTTCACTGTGAGGGTGGTGGAGCACTGGAACAGGTTGCCCAGGGAGGTGGTTGAGGCCCCTTCCCTGGAGATATTCAAGGAGAGGCTCGACGAGGCCCTGGGCAACCTGGTCTAGTTGGGGGTGTCCCTGCTGACTGCGGGGGGGTCGGACTAGATGGCCTTTGGAGGTCCCTTCCGGCCTGGGCAATTCTATGATTCTGTGATTCTATGAATGAGACAAATTCTGCAGCCCGTTTTGTCACGCTCTGGTTGTGCAGCTCAAGTCTCCCTGGATGGGAGGCTGCAGATTCAGCAGGGCTGTTCAAAACCCTCTCTGAGCTGGGAGGCCTCAAACAGAGTGGGAATTTCAGTACTTACATGTAAGACAGGATACAGAGGCTGCCAGAGCCAGGATTAAGCTAAAAGTCAGAGGATTAATTGCTTCTGGACAAACACTAATGGACTTTTTTTTCCCCTTTCACTGCAGGAATTAGACACTCCATTTAGGCTGTATGGACTGACCATGAATCCCTTAATCTACAACATAACACGTGTTGTGATACTCTCCGCTGTCTCGGGGGTTATAAGTGATCTCCTGGGGTTCAACATCCGCGTAAGTGTGAGCTCCCACAGGGACACACCTTCTGGGGGCACTTTGGTACCATCACCCAGTTCCTCCCCCCTGAGCAGGAAGGGGCTGGGTTTGACTTGGGCTCCACACGGTAATTGAGGGGATTGAATCTCACCCCTGGGGTCAGTTTTTGGGGGTGGAAGGACAGGGATGACAAATTTCAGTCCCATTTAAAGCTGTTGCTCAGGATCCTGGGTTCTTTTCCCACTGGGCTCCCACTTAAACCAGTGAGCAGAGCGGTCGGGGCAGGTGGGACCGAGTCTCACCTGAAAAAGCCCCATGAATTTCAGCCCCGAACTCACTCTGTGTCTCTTTTCAGTTATGGAAAATCCCTTCTCAGGTCTTCAGTCCCACTTAAAGCTGTTGCTCAGGATCCTGGGTTCTTTTCCCACTGGGCTCCCACTTAAACCAGTGCTCTCTGAGCAGAGCGGTCGGGGCAGGTGGGACCGAGTCTCACCTGAAAAAGCCCCACGAATTTCAGCCCCGAACTCACTTTGTGTCTCTTTTCAGTTATGGAAAATTAAACCATGAAGGGACCAACCCTCAGCACCCGGTGTCTGCACCAGGACAGGCCAGAGAGGATAAAGGACAGTTTGGGCAAAAGGCAGAGGTGCTCTCAAGCTGTGGAAATCTGTGATGGCTATTTCGAAATGGATTTGTAGGTATCCAGAGTTCTCCCTCTGCTTTGCTGCTCTACAGTGCACAGAATAAACTGCTCCAACCCGTGAGGTCACCCCGTGGCTCACACAGCACAGAATTAATGGGGCCAAACGTTCCTGGTGCCGTTGCCCACAGCAGGGACTGTGTGTGGGGCATCCAGCAGGGAAAGCCTCACAGGATCCTCTGCAGGGACACCAGGACAGCCCCAGGTGCCTTGTTTGTGTCAGTTGGACCTTGTGCCCGTGGCAGGTGAGGCGCTGGCCCTGCTGGCTCAGCATCAGCCTTTTCCTGAGGCCTCTGGAGCTGCACTGGAATTTTCCAGTTTGTGCATCCTCCTCCAGAGCTCTGCTCAGCCCGATCCCACCCGGGGGCATTGCTCTGCCTGCGCTGAAGAGGGTTTTCCTTAGAAGCTCAGTGTGTTTGAGGCTTTGCCTCCATCCTGACCCGAGGCAGGACGCAGTGAGATTGGGGCTGTGCAACGGGAATTCTTCCTCCAGGCTGAGAGCTCAGTGACACGAGACTCCTGCGAATAAATGATGGTCATTTTTTTGGAAAGTATTAGTTACCTGAGACCACCCTCACACCACAAACTACACCTGATGCGTTTATCAATGGTGGACTGTTGTGCTGAGCTCATGCCCTGTCACAGCTCAGCTCAGCTGCTTCTCCCCACAGCCAGCCCCCAAAAAGCTGCTGCAGCTCCATGTCGGTGTGATCCCAGGATTGCTCCTGGGCCAGGAACCCCTGGGGAAGAAACTGTCCCCAGAGACAGCTCGGGGGAAGAGACACGGTGAGGATTTCCTCACCCCAAAGTAGATTCCTGTTTAGAAAGGGCAGGAAAGAAACAAGGTGTTTCAAAGAGGTCTGTGAAACTTGGGGGTTTTCCTGAACTGACTCCAGTGTCTTCTATTTATTAGTAATGAAAAAGGCAGAAACTGAGGAACTTTTCAGAGCTTCATTCTTTCACATCAGGGGTCAGATGGCGTAAGAATTTTTGGTAGCAAATTGTTTACAGCTATTTTCTGTATATGGAAAAGTTGTAAGATGTAAAAGGAGATGACAATTTTATATATCAAAATGTACAAATAAACCTACAGTACAAGTATTTCAGCATTAATGACTGTTTCTACACGACTTGATGATTGTTATAACACCTTTGTTGAACATTTGTTACTTGAGCAGGGAGTCAAGGGAAGGTCCAATAATGAATTGTGTTTGTTTTCCAGGAGAGGGTTCTGTTTGTGGGTAAAACCTGGGTCACAGCTTGAGCTGCTTCAAGTATCATCACAGCAGGGAAACCAACAAAGAATCTCTTTCATACAGCGCGGAACCAACAGGCCCAGAACTGGAGTTTCTTTTTAATATCTATATAAAAAATAATGAGCGATTTACAGGTCTCTCTCTCGTCAGAACCTCCGAAGTCTGTATAAAGGTGCTGTACAATATATAAACATTTACACCCAGAACATCCATACATTGCTCCGCGTTCCAAGGCCACGTCGCTAAGTCTGATACAGTAAGTACAGGTACGAGTCCCCTGGAAGGAGAGGTCACACACAGGTAGGACACGAAGTCAAGGTCACATCAACACAGAGAAAAAAAAATATAGAGGGGCAGCTGATGACAGGGAGGTGACTTCAGTGGTGCTAATTAATCTTTGTATTCAACGGCTGAATTCGTTACGTACTCAGTGGTCAGGGACAAGTCAACATAAAACAGAGTCTCTTGTTGAGAACACACGGTGAATATCTACACAGGCTACTTCAGAGTATTAAATATTTTCACAGTCACACTCCAAGAGGGAGCGTTTGCGCGGGTTCTGCTGCGCAGCGAATGGCTGGGGGGTCACCCCACGGCGAGCAGCAGAGCACAGCTCAGGTCTGCTTTAAAGCCCACTTCATTGGTTCAAAGTCTTTGTTTAAAAAGCTGTTTGAGGAGTCACCTGTTCTAAAGAATTCAACTTGGATCTGATTCACTGGGGCTTCATTAAAAACATGAAATGTTTCAAAGCCAAACTGAGATACTCATTCAAACAGCAAATCGTATTAGTCTGAATATTAACACGAGTAAGTAAAGCTTGACCTTTTACACTCCCTTCTGCAAACTGGACCAATGGGCTCCTTTTACCACTTCTTTACAGTCATTAAAACTTAACCTGTCAGGAAAACATCACTAAAACTGAAGGAAAAAAAGCCCTTCACTCACGCAGGCGGCTGTTCTTGGAGCTGGAGGGCTGATGGGTCAGAACGTTCCAGTAACATCCCTCTGTGGAATATGGTTACAGCCCAAACAATAAATCTGAAGCCTCACGTACCCCAAGTATCACCCAATTTACCGCTCCCAGACACGTCACACACACAAAGTAAAACACGGGCGACACCTCACATGGGCAGGAACCGCGTTAAGACGCGGCTGCGGCAGCTGGTTCTGTCCTAAAGGTCAGTTGTTCCCTCTGCAAAGGATGAAAATCCCATTCGTCACCAGCATTAACTAATTAAAGCTGGGAGCTGAGCACACGGCACCGCGGTGAAGCCAAAAACCAACGTGCACTCAGTGGTGTTTGCAGCGAGGGCTCCGGGTGACACGGGGCCACGACGAGACAAGGGACGATGGTATTTAACAGAACCCAGGCTTTTCTCCAGCCAGATGTTTGCAGACAGTTGTTATAAGCAGCCTTATAACATCCTTATGAGTCAAGAAAATAAAGCAATTTTGCTGCGTTCATAAAAAGCAAAATTACAAAACATCATGTCAAATATAATTTTTATCTACACGGTTTTGCATTAGGTATAAAAATTTAAGAAAAGCCATCGATTGGTGCAGTGGCTCATTTGCTGCCCTCGAACGGAGAGAACCAACTCGCCCAACTCCTCCCTGAACCAGCCAGAACACGGGGGGGGCTCCCCCACAGAAACATGCAACGTGCTCTTGAGAAAACACCCCTTTTCCAACAAAAACCGTGTCTTTCCTGTGACGGTGACGTAGGGGAAGGCTGAGGCTGAGGGGGTACAGCAGGTAACTTGGCACAAGAACAGTGAGTCGTGGTCACATTGGCAATACAGGCATTAAATAACTTTGTTCAGAACTCACAGCACGACGGGGAAGCGGCAGCAGCGCGACGGCAGGAGCAGCAGAACAGGCCGGCGAAGGACGGGGGGGGACAGCAGCTCGTGGGAGAGTTTCATTTCAAGCAATCCACAAGGTCCTTCATGCAGCTGAGATAATTTAAGAACAAATCAAATACTTTTCCACCCTCCAACCAGTTTCTGAAAAAAAACCCGACAACTTCGCGAAAAGAACCAATGCTTTTAAATGACCGTTATTAGAAACTCGATTAAAACATGTTCTAAAAAAAGCGTCAGTCAAACCCGTTTTTCAGCCACCCCCGCTGCTGGGGTGACTTTACAGGTGCTCGGTACCCTCCAGGGCCCAGGAGTTATCGGTGTTTTCTTGACCGGAGAACTCTGCTCAGATTTGGAAATTCCATCTTTGGTTTCATGGGGCAGCTCCGCGTGTCGCGCTCCGTGCCGTCTGTCCAGCGCAACAGTCTCCTGTGGCTCCGGCCACCTTTGTCTCTCCAGAGAGAGAAGGGGAATGTTGGAAAGGCTGGAAGTTTTCAACCTGCTGGAGCTCGGCTCCCCAGAGTGAAGCCTCTTCAGTTTTTCGTCTTCAGACGTGTTTCTCCTGGAGTCCCTGAACAGAAGATGATTCTCATCAAACACGGCACGGTGTCGCTCCGGAGACCACCCTTCTGTCTTCCCAGAATTTTTCTGCTTCGTGTCTTTCCCGGTGACTCCTGTTCTACCATTTCCACCTCTCCACTGCTCGATGCTCATCTTATCATCACCAGTTGTTCTATCGTGACACTCCTGTGACCTGCCGACTGTCTCTACGTTTCCTTGCTTAGCGAGATGCTTTTGGGGACTGGCAGATCGTCCTTGACCTCCACCAGCAAACCCCCTTTTGTTCCCACTGTTCATCCCTGATTCTGGGGTTTTACTCTCACTCTTTCTGGAACCGTCAGATTTATGTGAGAAATTGCTGTAGGTTTTTTCAGGATCCCCCTTCCTGGGGCTGTGGAATCCTGCGGGAGGGTGTCCCTCACCAGCCCCTGACTTCTCTGGACCTGCAGATCCGTCTTTTCTGGTCCCTGCTTCCAAACTACCTTTTGTGATTTCAAACCCCGGGCTGGGGGGACATTCCCACCTGTTCTTTGTTCTCTGGGGAGAAGACTGAGGCTTCATCTCAAACTGGGTCTCAGTTAAAGTGCTTTTCTTTTCAGGCACAGTGTTCTTTGCTTGTTCCAGTTTCTCAGACAGCTGAACGCTCGTTAAAGCTTCTCCTGGTGCTGGTAAATAACACGCTTCAGATGGGGCAGCAGAATGTGGAGATGAAGGTAATGGTGACTGTTCTTCATATATTACATTTGACGAAGATGGATTGTAACTATCCCAATCACCTGGAAGTGAACAGGGAGAGATTTGATTAAATGACCACCAAAACCCCACTACGTATTTCAGAAACGTGCACTCTACCGAGGGTCCAGGGTGTTAGAGCAAACCTCCAATTTAAGAACATTATGTATATATTACATATATATTCTCCAAGTCTTATTTAGTCAGTTTTCTATCTTGTGTTGCCTGCAACAACAACCCAGGGAGGTGATTTGGGGAAAAACTTGTGCTTCGACACTGCGATCCCTGTGGGACCGAGGGGTCTCGCGTCAGCCTTAGAGCCCAAACAGCAAAACTGCAGAACAGCCCCCAACCTCGGGGTTTAACACAAGAAACCAAAATGAACCCAAACTGCTACACTACAGGAAAACTGAAAACAGTGAAAAGTTGAGGTTATTCATAGTTTTGCACTTTAATAACAGGAAGAGACGAAACACAAGACATGCAGATTTACCAAGTCTTTAAGGAAAAACCAAGAAAAGCAGTGAAAGCCCTTAATGTTGTTCAGGTTTCACGTAGGGACACAGACTGGAAGGAGCCAAACCTGAAGGAGGAAGAGAAAAAGCCCAGAAGTACATACCAAAATCACAGAGCAAGCAAGATCTCCATCAGAAACGTGATTAACGGCAGGATGAGAAGCACAAACCCCTTCCCCCTGATTATGGGCAGGATGAGAAGCACAAACCCCTTCCCCCCTCCCGGCTCTGATCTGATCCAAGCGGCTTCACCCGCTCTCAGGCCTGACACGGGGCTGGACCCGGGGGGTTCCAGGGGTTCCCTCAGCCCCATCTGTGATTTCTACCTTGGACTGGGGAGGTTTCCCTGAAGGAGAGGCCAGGAGTGATCCATAGAATCACAGAATCATAGAATTGCCCAGGCCGGAAGGGACCTCCGAAGGCCATCTAGTCCGACCCCCCCGCAGTCAGCAGGGACACCCCCAACTAGACCAGGTTGCCCAGGGCCTCGTCGAGCCTCTCCTTGAATATCTCCAGGGAAGGGGCCTCAACCACCTCCCTGGGCAACCTGTTCCAGTGCTCCACCACCCTCACAGTGAAGAACCCTCTCCTCATCTCCAGTCTAAATCTGTTCCCCTCCAGTTTGAAGCCATTGCCCCTCGTCCTGTCACTGCAGGCCTTTCTAAACAGGCTCTCCCCAGCCTTCCTGTAGGCTCCCTTCAGGTACTGGAAGGCTGCTATTAGGTCTCCCCGGAGCCTCCTCTTCTCCAGGCAGCTACAGTGGGGCAGGACAAGCACCACCCGTCGCTGCCAGCTACAGCACAGCCCATGGGGCAGGACAAGCACCACCCGTCGCTGCCGGCGATTCCCCGCGCTGGGAGCTGCAGAAGGAGAACCCGGGGGTGCCCTCATGCTGCCTCCTCCTCCTGCTGCAAACCCTGGGTCTGCAGAGAACCTCGGCAGGAGCCCCCCAGAGCAGGAGGAGCACTGTATTTAACGTGTATTTAACGTGCACCTGATGACAAGGTCATTCAGTGAGAGATGGAGGCAGCAGCCAGGAGCCCAGGGGATGGGACGGAGCAGCAGCGACGGGCTCCTCCCGCATCAAGTGCTGATTCCAGATTGACTGGGCTGCACAGGGGGGGAATGGGGATGTTAAGGGGCATCTTCCAGCTCCCTGGAGCAAAGAAATGCAGGAAGCTCTGAGCAGATTTTATCCCTTGAGCTGCCAGCTGCTGCCTGTAAACGACTGAACACAACAAACTCTCCGGTGTCCAAACTGTGTTTAAAATTTTCAGATGATAAACTCAAATCTGGTCACTATTATAGAAAAGCTCTTCATCAGAAAAGGTGACCCTACAACTCCACAAGTTTGCCATCGGGATTCTGGTGTCAGCACCAAGGGTTTAAGGACTGAAACCTGTGCTTGGAGAGGTGTCCTTTGCTTTAGAGTCCCACCACAGCCCCAGGTCTTGAAGATTTGTTGTTTTGGAGCATTTCCTAAGTCAGACTCAACCCCCTCAGTTCTGTGAGCAGCAGCTGAACCCAGAGCTCAAATCCTGTGAGTATTTGCTTTTCTGTCCTTCCTTTTTTTTTTTTTTTCCCCACAAAGTTGTGTTTTCCTGCAGTAGATGCAGAATTCACACCTTAAACCAACAGAGTCCACCTGGGGAGCAGAGGTGCCTCTCTCCTGCTTTCCCAAGTTTGGGCTTTGAAAAACAAAGCATTCCCTAATTTGGAAGGCTAAAACCAGTGAAGTAAAATATACAAAACAAATATGCAGTAATTTCACACTGTGTAATATTCCTAGGTAATTGCCATGTGTTAATTTTACCAAAAAATATTCCTTATATTTTAAAATAAATAGGAACACCCGCAGATTGTCAGTGAGGGAGCTGGGAACTGTCTCAGTGAAGAAGCTCCAAAGTCTCCTCATCAGACCCCCCTCCGTGGCCCGGGACCCTCGACACAACGTACTGTGATCCGGTATCAAGCCGGTCCCTGGTCTCAGCAGCAGCAACACTTTATTCCCTCCAGCCTGGATCAGCTCAATGGCTCGTGTGTGAGTGATTCCTTGGGTGGGTTCTCCGTTAATTTCAACGATTTGGTCGCCAACCTGAGGAGAAAAGAGCAACTGGGTTAGTTTACCTCTGACACTGTAAACTAATCTTGAATTTAGAAAGAAAAAAAAATTGAGATGGATGCTTCTATCTCCCTCTCATGCTATCATGCACTCAGGAAGGGCAGGAGCAGCACTGCTCTGTGAGGCTGCAGCAGCTCGAGCTCTCCCCCAGGTCTCCTGCTCAGCTGGTCCAGGAGAAGACCCTTACACTCAATTTGGGGCTGATTTACAGGGATGAGACAGACGCAGCCGTGGGGGTGTGCAGAGGGGGGTGTAGGGATGAACCCCGTAGCCCTGGGGCAGTGGCCAAGCCCTGTCACACCAGCCACACAGTGACAGCAGCTCCTGGCTCCCCTCCAGAATTTAGGCTTTGATGGAAGGAAAGGATTTTTTGTTATTCCAGGTAGGAGATCACTACGCAGTTATCAGTACTGAGGTCTCTGAGGCCAATTAGGAACTTAGAGAGATGTGTGGTAGGTAATTAGAGCTCACGTGACCTTTGTGGGCTGCTGGAAGGGGGCTGGAGTGGTGTCCCCCCCCCGAAAAGGTCCCACAGCCCGTGTGGCAGTGCGGGGAGCAGCCAGTGGATGTCACCACCGCATCAAATGAGTCATTAAAGACACCGCCCGGGCTCCGTTAAACGCGGTGTCTCTGCCACCAACCATCACGGTCACGGTCACCGGCTGGTTCCTCATCACCAGGACTGGAGGCTCCATGCCCCAGACCTGCCTCCCGCCACGCTCCGTTGCCACCACTGCCTGAGAAACTCCTCTTCACCCTTCAAAGCATGGCCAGAAAACGGCACCACCTTCCAGCTGAGGTGGAAACGAGGTGGAAACCGGGGGGCTGGAGTGGTGTCCCCCCCCCGAAAAGGTCCCACAGCCCGTGTGGCAGTGCGGGGAGCAGCCAGTGGATGTCACCACCGCATCAAATGAGTCATTAAAGACACCGCCCGGGCTCCGTTAAACGCGGTGTCTCTGCCACCAACCATCACGGTCACGGTCACCGGCTGGTTCCTCATCACCAGGACTGGAGGCTCCATGCCCCAGACCTGCCTCCCGCCACGCTCCGTTGCCACCACTGCCTGAGAAACTCCTCTTCACCCTTCAAAGCATGGCCAGAAAACGGCACCACCTTCCAGCTGAGGTGGAAACGAGGTGGAAACCGAATTGTGAACACCCCCGGGGCTGCCGGGACACCTGGCACGTGGCTGGTGGCCCTGCTCCTTCATGGCCACTGTCTCCAGCCAGCGCCACGCTCCCATGGGACACCACCATGGTGTGGGGACAAGTGGTGATCATGGAGAACCCAACTCACGTGCACTCTCCCGTCCTTGACGGCCGGCCCGTCCTCAGCCAGCCGCAGGATGAAGAGCCCCATGTTGTACTCCTTCCCCCCGCGCAGGCTGAACCCGAACCCTCGGGGGCCCCGCTCCAGCTCCACTGGGAAACAGCCAGGACTCTGGGTGGGAAGTTGGAGAGAAAAAGATGAGCACTAACAGGCAGGTTTGAACATGTTTTTCTGGAAAAATGCTTCACACATTTCTATAGTTTGAGAAACATCCATGATTTAAAGGGAATTCACCACAACCCGTGGGTGAGCAGGGGCAGGGGTTTCATTCTGCGTCTGAACATACACAGCATTTTTCCTTCTAAGTTTCAGGTACTTCAGGTCTTGAAAATCTCCAGAGAAGGGGACTCCACACCCTCCCTGGGCAGCCTGTTCCAGGGCTCTGCCACCCTCACCGTGAAAAAGTTTTTCCTCAAGAGCTTGTCAGATCATGCCACTCAGGGCTGCATCCAGGCGGGTCTTGAAAATCTCCAAAAAAGGGGACTCCACACCCTCCCTGGGCAGCCTGTTCCAGGGCTCTGTCACCCTCACCGTGAAAAAGTTCTTCCTCATATTCAAGTGGAACCTCTTATGTTCCAACTTGTGCCCATTGCCCCTTGTCCTCTCACTGGGAACCACTGAAAAGAGTCTGGTTCCCTCCTCCCTCAGCCCACCCTTGAGACACTTGTAGGCATTGATAAGGTCTCCCCTCAGCCTTCTCTTCTCCAGACTAAAGAGTCCCAGCTCTCTCAGTCTCTCCTCATAAGGGAGATGCTCCAGTCCTTGAATCATCTTTGTAGCCCTACGCTGGACTCTTTCCAGCAGTTCCCTGTCCCTCTTGAACTGGGGAGCCCAGAACTGGACACAGAATTCCAGTTGTGGCCTCACCAGTGCAGAGCAGAGGGGGAGAATGACCTCCCTTGACCTGCTGGCCACACTCTTCCCTACGCAGCCCAGACTTGTGGGATTTCTTTAAGAAACTTTGTCAAAGGGTCTATAGTAGCCCTGTTGCAAGCATTTTCTGTTTCTTTCGCAATTATAATGAGCATTCAAGTATACTAAGGAGATAATCAAATTTAAAACATCAGCAAACCCACGCGTGGGATTTCTTTAAGAAACTTTGTCAAAAGGGTCTATAGTAGCCCTGTTGTGAGCATTTTCTGTTTCTTTCGCAATTATAACGAGTATTCAAGTATACTGAGGAAATAATCAAATTTAAAACATCAGCAAACCCACTCTGGGGAGGTACCTGGGAGTGCCGGCTGCCGACCTCCGAGGCCGTCGGGTGCTTGTGCTCGGGCCAGGAAATCCTGTAGCTGTTGGCGGCTTCTTTTCCAGCCTCCCCCTCCGCAGCTGCCCTGCAGGAGGCAAGGGGACAGGGCTGTCACCTCTGGACTAACCACCCCCCGGGGAGATGGCTCCCACTGGCCCCCCGGGCCTGTAGCCCCCCATACCTGTCGGTGCCGGGGGCGCTGGGCTGGGCCTGGGCCAGCGGCCGGTGCTGTGGAGCCGGGCTCTGCCGGGCCGAGTTGGTTCCTGAGGGAGGACCACGGTGTTCTGTCAAACAAACACAACCCACAGTCAGAGAGAGCTCCCCAGAGAGAGCCACGGGGCCACGGTGACCATCAGCAGCACCTGCGGTCCCCAAGGGAGCTGTGGGCCCCCCCCGGGACCGAGCCGCGCTCACCGCGGATAAAGAGGGTTCTCCAAGGTCTAAGGCCATGCCCAGGAACCCGAGTGCAGTTCATTGGTTCCATGGAATAGGTTCCTAGGGATTTTATTCTTCCCCACACTGCTTTTCCTCAGAAAAACAACACAATTTTAACTGAACCAGAGATGAAGAGCAGGGTTTTAGACGGTCTCTGCAAGGTGATAAAGACCGGAAGAGATCAGGGATGGTCAGATCCATGAGGTTGTCTCAGATAGTCAATATAATACAATTTTCACTGAATTTCACTGAATTTTAGAGTTGGAAGGGACCATAGAGATCATCTAGTCCAACTTCCCTGCTAAAGCAGGATTGCCCAGAGCTTGTCAGAGCATGTTACTCAGGAGCATCCAGGCGGGTCTTGAAAATCTCCAAAGAAGGGGACTCCACAACTTCCACAACAATTTTGTAAGAGCTGAAGAATAAAGTCAATTTGAGAACATACCCCTTTTAAAAGGCAAGAGGAGAAGAAGGATCTGCAGGACAAGGATTCAGAGGTGAAGGCCCCAACGATGGAGGGAAACCGTCATCTCATTTCAGGCACAACTGGAGAGTTTGCTACTGGGCAACCACAGGAAAGGTCACAGACTGGTCCCACCACACTGGAGGGACTGGTCCACTGACAGCTTAACAGAGAGAATTTTAAACTGCTTTGCCTTCTCCCAAAGGCTAAGTAAAAATTAAACTATAATGACATTTTAATAAAATCTTTTAGAATAGCTTATTTTCCCTTCACATAAAACGCAGCGATTGTGCACTTTACAATGAATCCAGTGCAGTTATGAAAAAAACATGTTTCAGGACACAAAATGTCTCCGTCACTTCCCAGCGATGGCCACGGGCTGTGCAAACCCTGCCTCTTAGCTAGAGCCTGAAATGGCAAGAGGTGGCCCAAGATGAACTTAGATGCTGAATTATACACTAATAAACTCCTTCTTACAAGGGTTTTAGAAAACAATCCCGAGCACCCAGCCCAGGGATGTTCCTGCCCTCTCCCCGCTGCACCCCACTGCTGTGCCTCCCAGTTCAGAACAAACCTCAGTAAAATCCACAAAGAGCTTGAGCATTTTAAGGGCAGGAAAACACAATGCACGTTATGAGATGGAATTTCTGGGGTTACAGAGACCTCTCCTGCCCTTCACAGGCCCGCTCGGTGCTACCACCGTGACATGCCCCAGAGAGGATTTTCTCTAGAGACAAAATGTCAACTTTTACTCCTGGTTTATGCTCAGAGTTTTAATTTAGAAGCACAGGCAAGAAAAATGCCATCTGTTTGTACAAACTCCCCAGCCTCTCCCCAGCCCGTGCTCTTCTGTTCCCAGCTCACAGGCGACAGGAGCTGACAGGCTCCTGGTCTGTGAGGAACGTTGGAGGATGTGTTCTGGCATCTGCACTGGGACTGCCCGTACGGATCGCAGCTCGGAGGGAGCCGAAGGGGCACGGGGGGTGTTTTCAGTCTCAGGGGATGATGCTGGAGCTGGTACAGGGGGAGCAGCCCCCAACGAGGGTCTGAGCCCTGTGACACTGAGCAGCTTCTGGAAAATGGGCATTTTCCTCTTTGGTTGCATCCTGCATCTCCCGGTGCTAACCCCAGCCAAGCCCAGATCCTCCCGCAGCCCGCGGCCCCCGCTCACCCCCATCTGCTGCTGCTCAGGGTGCACAAGGACCTGCACACTGGGCACACCAAGGAGAACATGAAGGGTGACACATTCCCATTGCTGGGAAAGAGGTTCTGCTGCTCTGCCTCATTGTCACGACATCCTCCATGTCCGACCCACGACATCCTCCGTGTCTGACCAGCATCTCCCAGTGCTAACCCCGGCCAAGCCCAGATCCCCCCACAGCCTGCAGGGAAATGCCACGGCCCCCGCTCACCCCCTCACCCCCATCTGCTGCTGCTCTGACCCACACCATCCTCCACGTCTGACCCACGACATCCTCCACATCCGACCCACACCACCCTCCACGTCCGACCCACACCAACTCGAGCCCCTCGAAGCCACACGTTTTTTCTGGCCACTGACATCCTCCACGTCTGACCCACGACATCCTCCATGTCTGACCCACACCATCCTCCGTGTCTGACCCACACCATCCTCCACATCTGACCCACACCAACTCAAGCCCCTCGAAGCCACACGTTTTTTCTGGCCACTCCATCTCATTTTATCACCCACTACTGACCTCTTTCCCCCTTCTCTTTGTCGTTTTACTTCTAAGTTTTGGCTCCAAGTCTGTCATTGATTAAGTGAGAAAAGGTAAGTTCCTACACAAGGTCCAGGTAAAGTCATGCATAAATAAGGGACAAAAATGTTATATTCAAAAAGTTTCTTTGGAAAACAAAGCTGATCAAGAGCCCCAGAGAAGCAGATCTAATGCAACCAACTCAGACCTCAGCCCTGGGCAACCGCTTTGAGGAGTGTCCCTTCAAACTGCAATGAATTAGATTTGACAAAAATTAAAATCTCAATAGGAAAATAAGAATTTATAGAAGTGTCTCTGCTTCAAGCACTAATAAAATGGAAAATTAAGTCTTTGAAATTCTGTATTACAGGCTGAGATAGCATGTTAAATATTTGCAATGAATGCAAAATTAGAGAATGATGTCTTGGCTTTATTCACATTCTGGCTTTAAGTATTTATTATTTAAAAGGTGAAGAAAGCCAACTTTCTGGCAAAACAATGATAGCGAGTTTAATTAAACCCACAAGCGGCAACCCAGAAAAGCACAGAGGTAAGCAGGGCTGGAAAACAGCTTTTCTCTTCAAATGATTGGATTTTTCATATTTAGAGTGAACCGTTTGTGCAGGAACAATACCACGCTGAGGGCAGCGTTGCAGGGGGGCTTCTATTAAAGATGCAGTCCCTGAAGCTGGGACTCTGGAGTCACAAACACTCCCTTTGCTGCTCAGGTGACCTGGCTTGGGGGGCTCTGCAGGAGAACCCCAGCCTGGTGTCCACAGTGGGACACGGCCACTGTTCAGAGGACAGTCTGGGCAGACAGAACTTTGCTGCATCCCAGGGATGTGGCACTTGGCAATTTGTGTATTTTAACACAGCAGGAAGGAAAAGGAATGCCCCAATGGAGAGGGTTGGGAAAGGGGGTGTCCCCGTGTCCCTGCCACCCTCCAGCTCCCTGGCTCCACCAGGCAGAGCTGCTCCTGTGGGCTCCCTCCTCTGGGACACAGCTCCCAGCAGAGAGACGGGCACTGTCTGGGGTGACAGCATCATCCTGTGTCGGCTGCAGCTCCCTCAGGAGAGGCTGTTTCTCTTTGGTTGAAGAATGGAAGGTCTGGATGGGACAGGTTTGTGTGGGAGCAGCAGTCGCCACCTCTCACGTGAGAAACCCTGAGAATTTCTCTTACCCTGCATCCTGTGGTTAATACTTATATCTTATTTCTCAGTATAACCACCTCAGCAGCCGTCTCTCTCCGCCCCACCTGCCTTCAGCTCTTCCAGAGCAAACAGCTGAGTTTCACTCTCTCTCCTTGAATTCCCAAACACCTTAAAACACTCCACTTTAAATGAATTAACATCAGAAGTTCCACGTGTCAGACCCAGGCAGCGTGGCAGGGCCTACATCCAGCTGCTGGGTCCCTGCTCCCTCCTTACCTTCCTCGGCCACCACGGTCAGAGTCACCACGTTGCCCGCGTCCTTGATGAGCTGCACGATGCTGTCGTGTGAGAGCTCCACGATGGACTGGCCGTTCACCGCCGAGATGCGGTCGCCCACTTTCAGCTTCCCACACTGGTCAGCCGGGCTCCCCTCTATGACTCGCCCGATCTTGTGAGGAATCACTGGGGAACCAAGAAAAGGGACAGCACCAGGGTGAATATCCGTGGCACATAAGCATCCCCCATCCCCCAGACCCAGAACTGCCCCAGTCACCCCGGAGACCCCTCCTGCTCCGAAGGGTGGCACTGCCACTATGAGAAAAGCCTGTGACAATGAAGAAATCTTTGCTCAGCAGGGAGAATGGACAAGCCAGCCCCTGCCATGGGCCCTGCTGGTGCCTGGGGACAGACCCTTCTCATGGTTTGTTGACCCCAACGTCAGCGCTGCAGATGGCACTCGGCAGCCAGCGAGATGCCATCGCGACGGGGGGAGCCTGCCCAGACCTGGGGCAAGAGAGGGGCTGGTGGAGGTGCCAGCACAGCCCCAGCAGAGCAGATCCCCATCCCACCCCACCCCACCTCACC